GCCACATTGATTTTGACGATGAAAGGTCCTCTCTGGATTGGAGGAAGTTGGACAGAGCACAGTCATTCACATCGTTCTGACTAATATCGAAGTACTCATCAGAAGCTTTCAATACTTGGTCATATGACTGAACCTTCAGCTGCTGGGTCCCTCTGCCCCGTATCCTGTTGGTTTTGCTCATCACTGAAAGGTGCCAACCTCAAAGTTTCACTTGTTGCTAAGGCATGCCTGTCTGTTATGCTGTCAATCTCACTTCACTCTCGAGTGTAGCTGCCTTGCGTGTTTGCTTACTGCTGGAGTTTTTATTTTGCTCCATGTTTGTTGGTATTTTCCCCTGGTTCAGATTTCACCTGAGATTCTCTGTTTAGGCCTCTTTTGTTTATTTCATTTTGTCTCCGTTGTTTTTCCTCCTGTTTCTCCTACTGCACTGTTTCGCCATTTCACTTTAAATGCTGAAAAAGGCTGCTGATACAGCCAGCCTTTGTTTGAAAATGTTTGGGCCAGTTCTGGACATCACTGGCTGACAGTGATGGCAGTAGGAACATTTTGATCTGTGCCTACGGTCAGGAGAAATGAACCTATTTGTTAATTCAGCCACTTTCTTAGGTGTACATGATCCCTCCACTCACTGTGCGAGCTCACTCTATCACATCACTTCTCATGTCCACTGAAGTTTCAAGAGCATCTATCATTCACATTCAATGCACCTCAACTTTTATCCACCCATCATTCAGTACGATGCACCTGACTGATAGCAGTCACTTTTTCCGAAGGCGCTGCATCCATAGGATGGACACATGCCTTGTAGCCATCCCTCAGTCAGTTCTCTTATATCTGACAGAAAAAAGCTCAAAACACAGGGAAGAGGACTGGAAGTGGGCATCCCAGATTGCAACTGTTGGTCATACAGAAACAGGCAGTGAAAATCTGCACCTCTGACCATCAGAGATGGAGACACTGGGAACTTTCAGATGCCTGGTGACAGAACTAGAGAAAAACAAAATCTTACATGTACTTCATAAAAGATAAGCTCATTTCTCTTTATTCCAGAAAGTGGTGAAATGGCGCAGTGAGTGGCAACTTGTAAACTTTTCACTGTACTCATCTGAGTACATGTGACAATAATGCTAATTCTATTCAATCCAAATCAACTGATTATGAGGAATGACACCATTTCTTGCATTGTTATTCTTTTCTTCTCTCCTTCAAGGCCTTCATGCATGAGCTTTATTTTCCTGAAGATAATTTCTCAGAGGACCACATTCCTTATGAGGATGCACCATCACAAGACACACTACCATGAACCAGCACAAATCCTTATTGTCAGGTAGGGAGCATTTTGACAGCTAACTGGGTATGCATTCAGTGTGACTAACATTTCACAATTCAGCACGAGTGGACATTGGTGACAGGTTCAACTGTATCCTCTCCAAGTTGTGCTCAGCTCTACATAGCTACTAAGTCAAAAGGGTCATCAACAAAAAGACAATTCAAAAGGACAGTAGCCAATTTGCACAATATTAACAGATATCTCTCTACAACAGTAAAGAATATGAAGGAGTCTGATTCTATCGCTAATTGACTGGTGTCCAATAACATCTCAAGAATGTCTGTCATGGAGTGAGTGGCTTCCTCTTTAGACCTCACACATGGGTATCAGAGGAGCAAGCCATGGGCACAATTGTGAAAACTTTGGAAACTATTTTGCCTCCGCCTTTAATTGAATGACATGTGTCTTAGCTGTTGTTGATGTGCTCAAAGCTGCTCTATAGCAGCGTGATAGGAATGATGCCCTGGGAAAGATGTTGCTAATAGTCGATATGGAAGTTGAATCTACACTCAAAGCAATCGTCTAATGCCTCTCCTGGAAGGAGAGCCCAATGCTCTGTCTCATCTGCTGGTTGAAGCCACCCCTGCACAGATATGGCTGAAATGATCTGTAGCAGGGGTCTTGTGGGCTCCAAGATCTCGAGTTTGTTTGCCAAGAGTGTCTCAGGAGGATATCTGAACAACCCTGCCCCGATCTAGTCTGAAGTCTTAGGAGATGCTCCATGAAGTAGGAGTAAACGGATGAACAGGACAATCATAATTCATCAAGGCCAGACACATGAATGTTTGAGAAAACGTATGATGCTTAGTTTCCTTTTCGTATCATAGTATGTAAAATTGATTCATTCCCACCATTTCCATGTTGCCAATTCTTGATGCTGAATTGAAACTAACTTTTTCATTTGCTTGAATGTGAAGAATAGAATTGAGAGGACTACTGATGGGGTATGCAAATAAGTACACTTGATTGCAGGACTCCTTTTTCTGCGTGTGTGGTGGAGGAAGTGGATGAAGATTCAAGGCATGCAGTAGTTATTTTAGTCCAGTGTGCCTGGCTAGTCCGAAACAAAACTTGCATTTACATAGCACCTTTCACAACCACAAGACTAATGGGATCTTTAATTTCTGTGGGTACCTCTGGCTTTCTGAACAGCGATTTGAACCGACTATTTAGCACTGGGTATTTCATCATTATCTTTCTCCTAGTCCTCATCTCTTTGTCATTGAAACCATGATCAAGTAATGGGCGTTCTCATCAGCCTTCAACTCTATACATTTCATGACAACAATGTTGTGCAAAATACAGAACAATATGATCATCCTGGAGATCCTGGAGATCCTTGCTGAATGGCCCCGTAGAAGTCAGGGATTTTGGACTCCACAATATGATAGCTCCATGACAACTTGTGGAAAATTTGCCACACATCCTACATAAGCCTTTTCTTCCGTGATGTAAGAGTGATCGGCGTCACTGTGTACCTGTAGGAAGCCAGTCAGAGTTGTGAATCAGAGTTCCTGCTCATTATGGCCATGCTCATTGCAGGGGAAGACATAGCAAAGAAAAAAAAATCCATCACCTGCCTTATACATTTGTGTGCAGCTAATTGGGAGGTCATCTATATTCTCAGAGGCACTTTGGCAGGGGTAAAAACAAGTACATTGAAGGGACTGATATCTTTGTAGAAACTGTTAATGCATGGTCACCAAACTCTACAGGGAGCTGCTGATGTTCTACCAGGCTGCAGATTTCTGCAACCACCTGGGAGGTCAACGATGTTAGGCTCCTGTCTTTATTCCATTTTCATGCCTCCTGTAACTTCAATCCCTTTGTTGTTTTTCTCCCTCAAGTTTCCTTTTGCAGCAGTTGCTGCTGCCGTTGTTTGCAGTCCTCATCTGAAGTCCAATCTAAAGCAGCCATCGAGACACCCGTCCTAATGTATGGGTGAACAATTCCAAGCTTTTACCAAGATTTGTGTCATTACAAGGACTCTCCGCAAGGGATTTACCCAAAGAAACTGACATAAGAGTGATGAAGTCTCATACTTTCTTGGTATCAGGATACCTGACTTGAGGGGTCTTGTGGCGCAGTGGTGGTGTCCCTAACTCTTGAATAGTCCCTCATCAGGACCCACACCAGTTCTGACAAAGGGTCACTGGAATTGACGAATTAACTCTGTTTCTCTCTCTACAGATGCTGCCAGACCTGCTGAGTTTCTCCAGCACTCTGTTTTTGTTCCATACTAGAACCTGACAGCCATGTAAGATATGTTTGCAATGTGGTCAAACATGTTGATTATTAGCCTGTAAATCTTTCCAATACACTTACTTGATGGCAGGAAGAGCCATTGTGTAGATGACAACACCAAACCTCAACAGTACTTTGCACAAATGCATTGGCCAATCTAACAGACGTCTGTGGCCCAAGCATCAGAAATAAAGACGGAAGGTAAGATAAACAATTCTGACCTTTAACTAGCTCCATGTTGAGTCACTAGATTTCATTCACATTTATTGCTGAGTTTCCTGAGTCCTGGGAAACCCATGCCTGAGACAATAAATTCAAATGTCTTTTACATATGATTCTGTAAAGATTGGGTTTCTTGGCCACATGAAAATGTGCGTGTCTGTGTGTGTGTGCACACACGTACAGCGGGGGCAGGGCAGAGATGTCAATATTCACCTCTTCCAGTGTCATTGGTAGCGAGTGAGAGGAGAAAAACAAATAAGGCAAGGTTGTGTAATGGAGGTGTTTCTGTATTAAGGATGTAAAAATTGGATTGAAATTAGTTTAGTTTTAATCTTATGCTTAAAAAAACCCTGCTTGACAAGCTTTTTACTCTCACATTAATATTAATTTAAAAATACTTGAGTTGGAAGGACAAAAGCCAGTCAGCCCTAGATAGTAGTTTAATTTAACCAATCTGTTTAAAAGTGAGTTGATTTAAATATTAGCATAAAAATGTAATGGCATGATATTCTTTATCCACTGTATTTAAAACTGAACCTGTTTGAGTGTAAAAAGGCAAATTTTCCAAAAGAAATTTTGAACATAACTTTTTATTAATAGAAAATTAAATCAAGTGTAAAGTCAATATTTTCAAACAGCAATAATGTTCTGTAAAAATATGGTGAGCGATTTTACTGGGACCATGCCATTTTATTATTGCGTATTATTTTATTATTTATTATTGAATGAAATTGGGAAGGCAGCATTTATTGCTCCTTCCTAATTGCCCTGAACCTATTAAGAGCCAATCACATGGTTTGAACTGGCATTTATTAGTAATTGTTTTAATGACAAAAGTCAGCTGCCTAGAAATGACTAGATCTTCAAAATTTCTATTTTACCATTGTTAAATATGAATTCATGGTCTCTAGGTTACTAGTTGAATGCTATAACCACTAGAATATACAATTCCTTCTACACATATCTAAGTCATTCCTGCTCAAGAGCAATTTTACTTATATTCAAATAATACTCAGTTATTAAGAGCCAAGGTTTCTTTTTTAATTGATACCTCTTAAGCATCAGTGTCAATTCTTAATCAAACAAATTGTCAACTTGATTTAGATATCTTAACTGTAATATTAAAGAAATATTGTCATCATTGTTGAAAGAGATTATATTCAAAAAATATCTAGCATGAAATTAAGATTTGTAATATGCTTACCTGGATCTTTGGATGAACTGATATTAAAGAAGCTACAACACAAATAAGCATGTTGAAGCTAGTAACAAATTTATTTTCAATACAGCCATCAACTGTGGTGTAAAACACATAGCACAGGATTGCAGTTGTTAATGACAACACATAATTCAGACATGTAACTGATAGAAGTGCTGCAATGATACAAAAACAGAATAGCATCACTAAAAATCTTATTATTTCCCATACAAGTTCAGAACAAAGTTGTGATAAAACTAAGTTATAGAACAAATAATTGAAAGTGGCCTCTCTGTTTAAACCATTGAAAAATATGATAAAGCACCAATTAAAAATACATAGGAATGGTTACTGGGGGGGAAATGTTTTGATTTGTAAGATCTTATACAAAAGCTTCTGAAATTATTTGGATATGTCTTGTCCACAGATATTGTTTTCTTCATTTCTACTTCCCAATTCCCGAATAAGTGCATCAATTTAGTTCAATTATGAGATCAATTATAGATTTATTTAGTTCTGGAAATATACTTCTTAAAAAGTGGGCCTTGTCTGATCCAGTTCACTTCAAATCATTTAATATCATGCATCAAGGCCAAATTTGGCAACAAACCCAAACAAACCCTGTGCTATGAGAATGGAAATTCTATAGAATATCTGCATGGAATTTGTGGACATCTCAGTATCAATCTCTCCTTACAATGGGATCAATCATACAATTTTCATTTTAAGAGAGAAGGCTAAGAGATTTAATAAATATGTTTAAAATGGTTAGGCATTTGATCAAGTGAATAGAGGAAGATGATTTCTCCCTTTGGGTGTAAACAATAAGGAAGTATCAAATTAAAACTGTCAGCAAAGGGAGTGAGGAGTGAGGTTGTAATAAATTTCTACAATCAGGAAATAATTCTTTACATGACAAATTTCTCATATCCTTGTGATGAAGCATTACGCACCCACTTCATCCTTTGATAGAATGACAATAATCTAAAATTTCAGCATAGTTCACGAAGAATACAAAGGTACACACTTTGTACTCTGCTACTCTAGAGTCTGATGTTTAGCATAAGGCTGGCCTAGCTTTTTCAATGTTCCAACAAGCTCTGTAACATACAAGGTTTTGGGAGTTACTCATTACAAACCTAAATAGCTCAACAGAATTGAAGGTTAATTATTGTAAATAAAGTTCTGTGGACAAATTTGAAGGAGGGTATTCATTGACAAAAAGTGAGCGATTTTAGTTGAAATAGGTGGCAAAATGAGAGTCAAAGAGGCAAAATTGTCACTATATTATAGGATAAAACAGAAATAGTTGAAACTGAGAAATTTTCAAATGTAATCACAGAAGTATGGTGGTGCAGAGGAGGTATTTTGGCCCAAAGTGCTTACACTGGTTCAGTAAATGATCATGATCATAGAATGTCAATAATTTGTTTTTTCTCCACACTCTTGCATATTATTCTTCTTGAGTGCCTCAACTGAACCCACCAGGCAGTGCATTCCATACACTGACTACTCATTAAGATATTCCTCACTTCATCCTGGCTTCCTTTGCATATGACTTTAAATCTACACCCTCTTGTTTTTGTTCCTTTTATGAATGGAAATAGGTTCTTCCTACCTACTCTATCCAGCCCACTCATGATTTTGGAAAACTCTATCCGATCTCCTCTTAACCTTCTTCATTCCAATCAGAACAATCCCAAATTCTTCACAATATCCTCATAACTGGCGTTCCTTATCCCTGGAACTATTCTTGTAAACTGCTTTTGCACTCCTTCCAGTACTTTGATGTTCTTCCCATGATGTGGTGCTCAGAACGGTACACAATAACTGTGATTGTATAGCAAGAACTGTATAAAGACCATGCTCCTGCTCTACCTTTACATCTTAACATATGATACGTGTATTCGTTTTATTCATCTTATTAACACGAAAGGCTGACTGAATTTGGCTAAGATTCAAGCACTGGATTCTCTGGTCTCTAGTTAGAATACAGGTAACAGTATTAATTATAAATATTATACATTCATTAAGTGTACACAGAACAGATAGTTTTGTGAAAGGTAAGTATCCCTTTTCATCATAAATGTAGGCAGTTTGTACTATTTAACAAGTTCGAAACAATCAAAGCCTATCACATACAAAGATTACTGAAACAATGTCCTGGCAGCTAAAATAATCGTTGAAGTATCAATGACCTTTATTTTAAACTTCTCTTGACTCCCTCCCTTCCCATATCTCCAGATTATAACCAGGCAGCATTTATTTTTGTTGCAAATGGGGAAAAATTTCACACAACCATTTGTTGGGCTTTCTTGTTACTGTTTCAACCAGCTGCCAGGCTGTCTCCACACACAAAGACATTACCTATGACCTGTACCTATAACGCAGCTGCATTTCTTGCTGCTGGCTCTTTTCAGATGTTTTATTTTGACTTATGTTGAGGAATTTTTCCCCATAAGAATAATGTAAAGACAAAGGTGAGGCATGGTTTGGGGACTGTGTTATTGTGGCCAATGCCACTCCTATCAAGGCAATTTCTCCCATACGGAACAATGGACTAAGTTACGAATAGGAACTTTGAAAAATGAAGTGTTTCTTTCATAGCTAGCAACCAAAATATGGACTGTACATATACAATGCTGTACAACACAATGCACACACATTCCCTGCTTTGAACAACACAAGAGAACACAATGCGACTCAGAAGCATCAGACAGGATGCCGGGAGTAAATGTTAAGTTGTGTTACGTTGTCTGCTATCTTCATGTAGGTACTAATCTAATAAATGTAATCTAATACATTGTATAGCTTAACACTGAAACTCAAGTTAAAGATATACAAAGTCCCAAACTGAAATCCAGACGTACTTGGTGTGTGGGGACATCTAGTGCCAATAAGTATTAAAGCAGCTCTGGATGCAGTGTTGAAAATATGGGGTTAGAACTGATGGTAATCCACTTGTGTGAAATGTGATTTCAATGGTAATATTAAACTGTCTGTTTAAGGTCTAATATATAAAATAACTTCAGGTCTTATTATTTAAATAAATAATAAACAGAAACAGAGAAACTTGGAAGGTTAAGCAGCATCTGCAAAAAGGAAACAGAATTAACGTTTCAAGTCCACTGACTCTTCTTCAGAACCCTTCTTCATTGGGCTCAAACTGTTAACTCTGCTTTCTCTCCATAGAGATGCTGCAAGACCTGCTGAATTTCTTCAGCAATTTCTGTTTTTGTCTGTTTCATATCTCCAGCATCCGTGGTTCTTTGTTCTATCTCACTTTTAAAAATATGTTGTAGGTCCAGAATGGGGCTCGGATGTTCTGGCGGAGTTAGTGCCGATGTTTGAGGGAATCAGTGTGACTGACTGGTGAGTCAATAGCATAGCTACCCAGGAATGGAAGTAGATTTTAATTCCTCTAATTTTTCCTGGGTAGCTTATCCAGGTAAATAAGCAGAACCCTCCCAAGGCTCTGACTCTAACTCAAACTTGAAGACCTTCTTGCAGAGTGCCAGGTTCCAAGTTATTTTCCATCAGAACTTTAAAGCTTCTAGGCGATTACTGTGTAGTCAGTGTGTCACAATGTCTGATGCTTCCAACATGCATTTTTCAGAGTACATCCAGTGTCTGACTAATCTGGAGACCAGAAGATCTGGGCCTATAATATTTTCTCAAATAAGGGGACCAAAACTGCACATGGTACTCCAGATGTGGTCTCACCTATGCCCTGTACAGATGGATAAAACATCCCTAGTTTGATATCCCATTTCCCTTCCAACAAATGTCAACATTTCATTTGCCTTCCTAATCACTTGCCATACCTGCATATTAACTTTATGGGATTCATGTAACAAGGCAACCAGATCCATCTGAACCTCAGAGTTCTGCATTCTTTGTCCATTTTAACAGTATACTGTTATTCTATTCTACCTGCCAAAGTGGAAAAGTTACAAAAACAGAAGTTGCTAGAAAAGCTCAGCAGGTCTGGCAGCATCTGTGAAGAAAAAATCAGAGTTAATGTTTCGGGTCCAGTGACTCTTCCTCTGAATAAGAATGCAGTTCTTGCTATACAATCACAGTTATTGTGTACAGTTCTGAGTGAAAACATTACCTGTTAGGTCCCTTTTATATTTTTCCCTCTCAACTTAAACCAATACCCTTTAGTTTTGGACTCCCTTACCCTGGGAAAAAGACCCTGGCTATTCCAGCCAATTCATGTCCCTCATATAAACCTCTACAACATCACCCCTCAGCCTCTGATGCTCCAGGGAAAATAGCCCCAGCCTATTCAGCCTCTCCCTATAACTCAAACCCTCTAACCTCAACAACAACCTGTAATTTTTTTCTGCACCCTTCCAACTTTAACAACATCTTTCCTAGAGCAGAGGCTAAGATTGAATGCAGTATTCCAAAAGTGGCCTAACCAATGTCATGTGCAGCTGCAACATGACCTCCCAACTCTATTCTCAATGTACTGACTATTAAAGCAAATGTACCAAATGCCTTCCTCACAACCCTATCTACCAGTGAATCCACCTTCAAGAAACTATGAACTTGCACCCCGAGGTCTCTTTGTTTGGCAACACTCCCCAGGACCCTACCATTAGTAGTGGGGAAAATTCTACAATCTATTATAAAGTAAGGGATAAATTGTCACTTGGTTGATAATATAAAACAAAGAACTGTGGATGCTGGAGTTCTGAAACAAAAATAGAAATTGCTGGTGAAACTCAGCAGATCCTATGTTCTGATGAAGAGTCACCAGACTCAAAACAGTGATTCTGCTTTCTTCCCAGTCATGCTGTCAGACCTGCTGAATTCCATCAGCAATTTCTGTTTTAGTACCTGATTAATAATGATCTGTTTGGGCATTGGCAGTATGGATTTGCAAATGGGAAATCAATTTTGATGAACCTCTTTTGAAGATGTTACTAACATTATTAAAGGGGAGGTGATGGATATTGTACACTTAGATTTACAGAAGACTTTTAACAAAGACTACACAGGAGGAAAAATTGAAGCACAGGGGATAGGAGGTACCGTCCTGGCATGGATTGACGATTCACTAACAGACAGAAGCAGAGATTAGGAATAAATGGATCATTCTCACAATGGCAGACTGTGACTACCAGGATACTGCAAGATATGTACTTGAGCACCAACTGTTCACAAT